TCCTCATCCCCAACAGAGCTCTTTCTTGCCAACAGTCCCAGATGCTGAAGGCAGATTAGACTCAAGACTTTTATCTCTTCCTGAGAGCCTATATCAGACTCCCGTGCTCACCTCAGTCAGCAAAGGGAGAGGTGTTTGGGACACACGTATGGATAGTATAACCATAAAGAAAAGCAAGGGGTGCTTGGCAAAGCCAGATGCTGTTGGGGACAGGGGGCAGGCACGCAATTTGTGGGTGATTGTCTGATTCTTCCTGCCTTGATGGATGTGGCTGTGTTCCAGTCCTCACCTTGCTTTCCCCCGGGAGGCCATGCTCTTCAGTGTGTGTGATGTGGGCCGTGGTGAAACACCGAAGACCCTTGAAATAACTTACACTGTCCCAAGACGCCCCATCCCCCTGTCCCCTCTCCCCGTCATCTCAATCCCCCTCCCCCATCACACGTGGACAGAATGTGAGAGTAAGAAGAGATCACAGTTACAAAGTTGAAATAGCTCTTCTTTTCCCCTGGATGTGAATGAGTCCTTCTTTCCTTGAACAGACCCTAAACTTTGACCGCGTTTTCTAGAGAATAGTGCTTGTCTTTATTCCATCTCTCTACGGTGGCATGAAGTAGCACTGAGGAAAGAGGATCTAACCCACGTAATGGAAAATTACAGCGTCCTTTTTTATGGTCATTTATTTAAAAACAGAGAGACTAACACATTTTTTTCTGTTTCTGATTGAGGACTTGCCGTTCACAGCCCAGGCCTGCCGTTCCGTGTTGAAGCGCTGAATGTGGGCTTTGTGCTTTCACTAACGTCATGAGTCTGATTGTATTAATATGTTTCTCAAGGCACAACCTATAAAAGCAATTTTCTGGTCCACATAAAATATTCATGAGAATACAGGCTTTCTTGTTTTGATGCTGCATTCTTTATGGAGAGAAGGTTGCATTGTTTTTCTCGGGGTGCTTTGGGTCAAAAGTGCTGGCAGTTTCTGTTGAGAACTCAAGGCATTTCAAATAGTTTTGGATACAGAAATAGTACGAGTCCTCTTTGACGCACCCGCTAGAGACTGTGATGAACGGGGATTGTGGCTGTGACTCCTTGCCACTCCCCACCCCCCACTGGCTGGCATGCAGGCCGGGCCCTGGGACAGCTCTGCTCCGGCCACCCCACTGCCACCTGCGAGGGGCGAGGAGGCGGCGTTTCTCCAGAGGCCTTGCGAGGGTCTCCTTGTCCCGCAGCAGGTCCAGAGTTGTGCTTTCACGTCTACCTATAAACGCAGTGTTGTTTTCCAACAGGTGGGAGTGGCAGGAGCTGGTGCGGCCGACGTGGGTTGCGACTAACAGTCCATTCTGTCTGCCCTGCTCTTTGCTGTCTTAGAAGAGTGAAGTTCTAGGTGAGGCCTCGGAACGGTAAACTGAGGCCATGCACCCTTCCTTCCTAGGAACTGGGGAATACAGCAGACGTGTTGCAGTGAGGACAGCATGCTGTCCTGGTCACGTCAGCACGTGCCCTGGCTCTTAGCCCTCCACGCCCTGCGAATGCCCCCCCATCCCTGTCGTCTGTGGACCCCTCACCACCCCGGCATCCCCTAACTTCTGCTCTGCCGAAGGATGACCAGGGGCTGCCAGGGACTATTCCCCCAAAATATCTCCATGATTCCAGGCTCCAAAGAATCTGGGAAAAGTTGGAGGAAACAGTGAAGCTCAGCTTGTGTGTGGTGGGTAGGCACAGCCAGCGCCAGCCCTGGAGAAGGGACCCTGGAAACCGCCTGCCCTGCCCCTCCTGCTACCTGCACTTCCCCGCACCCTGCTGCGGGCCCCTATGTGGCCCAGCTTATCCCAGCATGGCCCCCTGCCCCGCCATGCCCTCAGATTTGCTCAGTCTGTGTCCCCACGACCCTCCACGTACACCTGGACCCATGGGCCCTTGCTCACACCCTGCCTTGCGGCTCATGGAGACACAGCCCCTGTGTGGACCCTTCCCCAGCCCTGCCATCAGCCCACAACCCTCTCCGCTCTGCTTTCTCACTGCAGGCCTGCTGTAGGCTGGCCCAGGAGCGGCCCCGCACACCTTCTCAGCAAAGGCACCTGTCTGGAGAAAAGTTTGGCCCATCATGGTTTTGACGTTAATTAAAAGGATCCCTTAAAAGTTGTTTTATGTTCAGCATCAGATGGTCCCCTGACCCCTTTTATGAACAATTAGAATGAAGAGAGGAGAAGCTGGAGTGAGTAGCAGAGGGGGCTTCTGCCCAGCATGTCAGAGGGAATCTCTTGGTCACCTTGGACTGTCTCGCAGCAGGGGTCCCACCTGACTGGCCCTGCCATGGGGGCCAACGATGCCTGCAGCTTACCAGGTGTAGGGCAGATGCTTCTTTCATGGGCTCTCCATGGTTCCATTCTTAAGCTGAAACGTGGCCGCTCAGCCGGGCAAGTGGAGTAGGAGAGAGCCAGGATGGTTCTCACCTGGACAGGTGGAGTGGCATGTTCTCCCTCCAGCGGCCACCGGCTGTGTGGCTCAGTGTTGTGTGTGTGAGCAGCAACATGGAGTTGGGCTTGTCCTTAGGAAGCAGAGGCTGGCTAAGCCAGGGGTGGCCTGCCCTCCAGCTCCCCTGCGTCCGAGAGGAACCCTGGGAACCGCCTCCTGACTGCACCGTGGACACACAAGGGCGGAGCCCACTGGCTAGCCACGGTCATGGTGTTTTAGGAGGAATCCAGCCCCGTCAGCCTTGTGGACAAGGGACGATACAGCCCTTTGGGAAAGAAGGGCGTATGTTGAATTCCTGTAAGAAGCTGAGCTCTGCTTCCTTTTCTCCACGTTTGCTCGCTGAGCTGCCCTCCCTGCTCTCCTGTTTATTCCTTAAAGTCTGAAGCAAGTCCGGGAAATATTGAGGTTTTATAAAACGGGCTATTACAGTGTTTCTGTTTTTATATTTCATATTAAAAACGATCAAGAAAAAGGAAGTTGACAAGATCCAGTCTTTACCAGCTCCTATGTGGTGGGGCGGGTGGGACGCCCCTTCTCCCTGGTCCTGTTCATGAAAGCAGTTTATTTGCGTAGATTTAACTCACATAAATAGCAAATAAAATCCTCCTGATCCATCAAGGCTGAGACTCCGTTAGAAATGCACGTAAACAGTTGGGGGTTGCATTTCCCTGACTGCGGGAAGAAAGGGAAGATAAGTAGCCCACTGGCATCTGCCCTGGCCTTCTCAGGGCTCAGAGGTCTAGGGAGTTTTGGACTTCCCTAAGATGGCTGGATCCGGAGTATTTTCTGACCACCTCCTGGGCTCCTCTGTTTCTTCCCTCTGTGCCCTGTGGTCCAGGGTGAGGCGCTCCTCAAGGGAAAGCTGGTCCTGGCCCTGGGCTTCTGTCAGCCTGTTCCTGCCAGCCTCGGGGAGCTCCAGGCCTGTGCAGCCGCCGCAGTGGCTTTGGGGCCTGTGGGTGGGAGAAACGGAAATTTTGTCAAGGAGTTAGAAGGCCCACGCCCCGTCCTGGCAGCGTCCTGGACTCAACCTCTGAGCTGTGCCTGGCAGGCTCCATTAGCAGGTGTTCATCCCAGACACTGGGGCCCAGAGAGCCCAGGTAGCTAGAACCCAGGGTCCCAGCCCTGCCTCATCAGAACGGCCAGAACGACCCACTGGCTACCTGGGCGGTGACCGCAGGAATGCTCTGTCCAGAGGGGCGGTTCCACTTACGGGCTGTTTTTTTTAGCAAGTCTGGGTTGTGAGGCTGTGGAGTATGGACTTCTGAGGAACCAGGTGATGGCTGGGACCAGGGGGCCCTGTGGCTGGCGGCATTTGGAGATGCTAGAACAGGGTCAGGTGCATAACACGGCCGGACCTTCAGAGGGTCTGGGCAGAGGGCCCCTGATGGCAAGGAACTGGTCCTTGGTGGCCCGTGTTTGTAGGGTTTGGTCTTCCTTTCTGGAGGGTGAGGCCTCCGTCTCCCGCCCCAGGCCCCCAGGTCTGTTGTGTATCACTTGAAGACCTGGGCCCAGAGTAGGTTGTGGGGGAGCTTTCTGGAAGGGGTGGGAGCTCGTGGGCCTGTGAGTGGCCGTTGCTGAGGAGCACAGGGGCCTGGGCCCCCGCAGCTCCCGAGAGGTTTCTGTGAGCCCGAGGGGCTGGCTGGGCTGCGTGTCTGGGGAGCTCCGTCGCGGCGTCTCTGGGGAACGCTCCCAGGCAGGGCCTTCATGTGCACCTGCTCAGACCTGATGCGCCAGGAAAGGAGCCCCCACGGCGGCCTCTCTTCCGTGACGGCTGTGATATCAGAGTTTCTGCCTGCTTATCCTCGCTCTAATTGGTTATTGATTTGTAAGCATTAAGCTTGATTGCGCTTCTATTGCTAATCAGAATCACGTGGGCTTTTTCTCCGTGGTACAATAGTCCTGGGAAGCAAATCCGTTTTCTCTGGGCCTCAGGGAAGCCCACGGCCTGATGCTTGTGCCCATGCAGGTGAGCTGGGGAGCAGTTATGGGCTGTGGGCGGTGAACACATTCTCCATGGAGATGCTCTGACCACCCAGCGTCCATCTGAACCACTTCAGGGGCCCACGCTGTCCTGTGGTTCCTGCATGCAGCCCTTAGTGGCCTCGTGACAAAGAAGAAAAGTACAGGCCCATCTGCCTCTCCCCTCGCTGGCACTCAACTTTCCTTAGAGCCATTTCCTTGTGTACTCCCTCTGTTGGCTTTCAGAAATGTCATCGGGATGGCTGCTGGGCCCGCATCAGGGCCTATGGTGTCAGGGGCGGGGCGGGCCCTGCATCTGTGGCAAGGCATGTCCCGGTCTGACCTGCCCCTCAGTTTTGCGCCCTCTGCACTTGAGGAGTGGAAGGTCACCAAAGCCCCCCAAGTCCTGCACTTTGGGTCCATCAGGCAAGAGGGGGGAGAGGCATCCCGAGGGTCGCCCATGCTCACGCAGGTAGCACCCCTGGACAGTGGCATCGGAGTGGGCGGGAGCCTGGGGACGCCGTGCCGCTGCAGTGACCGGCGCTTCTGTGCTCTGCTCTTTCCCGCAGTGGACGTGGCCTCCGCGCTGCCTCTGCAGGTCGCTCCCCCGGCGGTGCCCATGGACCTCCGCCTGGACCACCAGTTTGCGCTGCCCGTAGCGGAGCCCACCCTCCGGGAGCAGCAGCTGCAGCAGGAGCTGCTGGCCCTGAAGCAGAAGCAGCAGCTGCAGAGGCAGATCCTCATCGCCGAGTTCCAGCGGCAGCACGAGCAGCTGTCCCGGCAGCACGAGGCCCAGCTGCACGAGCACATCAAAGTAAGTCGGAGGCGGGGCCGCCGTGCACCTGTGTGAGCCTTCCAGACGCCGGGTTCCCCATGGCGCCCGAGGGCCACTGCCTTGGCGTGCTCCCCACCATGCACTGCAACCCCATGGTGACACACAAGACGGCCCTCTGTGCTGGGACCAAACTAGCGGGCGCCCGCCAGCCCAGCAGCAGTGGTGCGTGTGGCACATCACGGGGAAGTCGCTGCCATAGGAGTAGACTTGAGAGAGGGGATGGGCTTGTCATCTACTTTCACCCAAAAATACAAGCTGCATCCCCAAACAGACAAATGACCCGCGGGAGGGAACACCAGAATATTAAATGTGACCCCCTCTGGGTGCCGTACTCACAAAGCAGTTTTCTTTTCTTCTCAGGATTTGTCTTTTCTTAGTTTCTCCCACGGATCCCATATAATTGGAAAAAGATAGTAACGTGGGGTTTTTTGCATTTAAATTTAATAAGAAATGAATAGGTCTTCTTGTGGCGTTTAGTCTCTGTAAATACGCAGTCTGATCCCAGGGTCAAATTAAATACATTGGAAAGAACCATGTGTTGGTGATGTGTAGCGAAGTTGTGTTCTGTCGTTGACAGACCTCCTGTAAGCGCCACACGCTCCACTGTATTCAGAACCACATAGAGCAGCACTGTCCCACAGATCCAGGCGGGCAGGTTACAAGTCCGAAGGTAATCTCACATTCTGCACTGGCCACCCTAAAACGAAGCAGAAAACCCCGGGCTGTATAAGTCATCTGTTGGTGTGTAACAAAATACCTCAAACTTAGCTATTTAAAACAGAAGAAAAACATGCATTACCTCATAGTTTTGTGGTCTGAATGAGGGTCTCCCTAGCTGGTGGCCGTGACCCAGGGTCCCCCATGAGACCACGGTCAGGGCTGTGAGACCCACTTCCAGGCTCACTCACGTGGTCACAGGCAGGAAGCTCAGGCCTTGTCACCAGCGAAGCCCCCTACAGGGAACAGCCCGAGTGTCTCCTGTGGCCTGGTCTTCGACGTGACCTGTTTCCTGCCCTGCCTGACTCTGCTGGTCGTGCATACCAGCTGTGGCATGTCCTGGGAGGTGCCCAGCCGAGGGTGAACACCAGGAGGCAGGGATCGGTGCGGAGCACTGGGAGCCTGGCTACCAAAAGGTAAAATTAGTATGTAACCTCGTATTTCTGAGATAGTTCAGTGTGTAAGCAGTATTTTTTTTTTTTTTGTGAAAGACTTTTATTTATTAGAGAGAGAGCACAAGCAGGCAGAGGGGCAGAGGCAGAGGGAGAAGCAGACTCCCTTCGGAGCAAGGAGCCCGATGCAGACCTCGATCCCAGGACCCCGGGGTCACGATCTGAGCTGAAGACAGACACCTCACTGACTGAGCCCCCTGGGCGTCCTGGTGTATAAGCAATACTGAAAGTGTTGTTCACATGGTGTCTTGGGAAGCCATTGTGGACCATCCACGTAGAGTATGTCTCCATCTCACTTAGAGTATGTCTCCATCTGGACCAGCTGAGTTTCGTGCCCTCTGTGGCTACATGTGCTCAGTGGCTTCTGTGGTAGAACACACCTGGGGAGGACTACGAGCCCCCACTTGGTACTCCCGGATGTTTCCAAGACTCTCTATCCAGATCGAGACCTGTATAGCAGGTCCGCAGTAGAGGGGACCCCAGGAGCAGGTGCCAGCTCTGTCGCCAGCTGGTAGGGCGCCCAGGGGCCACGTCCTGCCCTGCACACAGCGTGCGGCGGGAAGACCCTACCCGACCTGGCTGTGGTGGCCTCCTTGCTGACCGGGATTTGAGGAGGATGCATGTGCCCCTGGATTTGCAGCTTTGACTAGCAAATGAGAAACTGAGATGTAATCAAGGGCCACATATGAGCAGGGTCATCGGGTCGACAAGGAAACAAGCACCATGAAGACCCTTGAGAGGGTCAGGGCCGCCGCCTCAGGGCAAGGCCAGGCTTCCCTGGTGCCCTGTCTCTGTTCCCCCTGGGGCTGCAGGACTCCATATCACTGTTGTGGAGATGGAAGAGTCTCCCCCCTGAGCCTTCCCTCAGCGCTGGTGCCACAGAGCTGTGCAGAGGGCCCCTGGCTGTCGGGGCTCTGCTCCTTGGGTCATGGGGCCTTCTGAGCTCCCCTCCCCCACAGGGCCGGGGGCCCTCAGGCCTCTTGGGAGCCCCCTAGACATGCCCCGCAACAGATGACCCCACCCCCACAGACGTGGCCTCCTCAGAGACATGGCTCCACAGATGGGGCCCCCACAGATGTGGCTGTCTCAGAAGTGGCACCCTCACAGACGTGGCCCCTATGCTGATTTGGCCTCCCCACAGACATGGCTCTCACAATGTGGCTCTCCCAGATGTGGCTCTAGGCCTGGTTCTCAGAAACACAGGGAGAATCTTGAGTTTACATGTTCTCTGCATTTTAATCATTTGTTTTATTTTTTAAATAATTTATTTATTTTGGGGAGAGAGAGAAAACAAGCCAGGGGAGCAGCAGAGGCAGAGGGAGAATTAGACTCCCCACTGAGCAGGGAGCACCATGTGGGACTCAATCCCAGGACCCTGAGACGTTGACTGGAGCCAAAGGCAGACGCTTCACTGACTGAACCCCCAGGGTGCCCACATTTGTTTTATTTTTTCATGTAAACTGGAGATTATAAAAGCCATCTAACCTCTGTGATCATGTCATTACAGATCAGTTAGCTTCTGTTTTGATGATCGAAACTCCGTTCATAAGCCTTCATATTATGGGTGACATTTAGCAGTAGCGTTTGTCAGATTTCTTAAACATACAGTCTGATTTATGTCATTAAATCGTCAAGGAATTTGCATAGGATTTTATAATTAAAAAGGGAATAGTTTTTAACTACAACTGAAATTGCTAACTTAGGCTAGATAAGATCTTTTGTAAATGTCAGTGGTCAATGTCACTCTTATCCATGATGCTTTGCTGGTCGCGGGTGATTTGGGCACTGTGTCCCCACCTGTCCTGGATAGTCCTCTGTCCACAGGGTCTCTGGGGAACAGCATCACTGAAACAGGAGGAGACTGAGTTTGGGGGTGGTGAGTGCTGGTGCCCAGAAAGTCGTCAACTATTTCATCAACCAGAATTGCTTACATGATTAAAAGACCGTTATCCAGATTTGCTGCTTGGGGGCTACTTGTGTTATTTTAATTTTTTAAAATGTTATTAAGAAAATACATGTTTCTAATGTTTCAAATCAAAAAGTAATGCAGCAGTAACTCATTGAGCCTGCCCGTCCCTGCTTCTTGCTGGGATCCCAGGCCTGAGGTCTGTTCTGGCCTGTGCTCCCTGTCTCCCTGTGGCCAGCTCTACCCTTTGGGGAGAGATCCCATGTGGTGATGTCCCCCTACAGGAATGACGTGGCTCTCCTCTCCGCCACCCCTCAGGCACCTGCAGACCCTGCCACACTGGGCATCTCCAAGTACTCAGGCTGCTCTCCAAAGACAGAACTCTTCAGGCTCTCCGTGCTTTGTCCATGGGAGCGTGCTTCTAGCACATACCACCTAGTGACCGTGCCCTTTGGTTCAGCCCTCAGCTCTTCCTCCCCTCTTGTGTCCCTGCTGCAGATCCCGTCCTGAAGTCTAGAAGCCTGTAAGTGCTTCTCCCTGTGCACAGACACCGGCGGTCACACTTGGGGCTCCCAGGCCTGCGGGTCTCAGGCGGCACACAGTTTATTTTTAAGTGTTAATGACACAATAATGGGATTTTTGTGTTTTAAGGTATCTGAACTCTGAATGTGGGACATCTTTAGATCATGATCCCTGATTGAAGCATTCATTTTATGAAAAAAGAGCAACAGCTGCATCCTATAAGCCAGCACAAGTTTCTTCCTGCCTGAGGGGTGATGACCGCCGTTTCACAGGGACCACAAAGATTGCCATGTGGTGTCTCAGCTAGCATTTGCTGTGTAACAAACCGCCCAGACGCAGCACTTAGCACAGCAGGCGTTCTGTTTGCTGGGGGTTGTTGGAGCTGTTCCACAGGCGTGGGCTCTCTCTGATGCCCCTGGGTCAGCTTTGGCCGGCTGGTGGCCAGGTGACCTGGGATGGCATCACTCTCTGGTCTGCTGGGTGGCGGGCAGACCAGCAGATTATCTGCTGTTCTCAGAGTTCCAGGCTCACGGAAGTGCAAGTATGTTTTAAGCAGAAGCTCAAATCATAGATGCTGTTGCCCACTGGCCAAGGCCAGTCTTGAAGCCAAAATGAGAATTCATATAGAAATAGACCCAAGGCAGTGGATGTCGGGGGGCCTGCCACAAACGGAAGCCAGAAGCACAGTAGTCTTCTCTAGGAGGAACCCCTGAACCGTGTTCAGAGGGGACTGGGCACCTGGACTCACTGACCGAGACAGGAGCATCATGAAGAAGAGGGGACAGGGTCATGGGCCGGGACTCTGGAAATATATTTTTGTATTAGGAACTTGTCAGCATTCAGACTCACTGACTGAACGTTGTGAACACTAAGTGGGGGTGGGGTTGCCACTGACACAGGCGCCACTGGGGTGGCTGCCATCTTGGTTCCCCAGTGGCAGCCACAGCCTTGTGCGTCAGGGGCCCTTCCTTCCCCCACATGCGCTACAGCTTACAGAATGCCTCCTAGAAGCCTGCTGGCCAGCCCTGTCTGCACTCTTGTTCTTGTGGCTTTGTATCTCTTCAAAAATACTCTTTTCTGTCTCTGTTAGTGGTCTTCAGACTTCAGCCACGTTTGCCCAGATGCTGACCTCCTCTTTAAGGGTCCCTCACGGAGTTGTCCCCACAGACCTTCCTGTGTGGCCTGTCGAGGGGCAGAGCCTCAGCACCCCAGAAGGAGAGGCAGGCCTGGGCCCCAGGACCCTGGGGTCATCTGTGGGAGAGAAGCAGAGTCTGTGTCGGCGTCTGGGCACTGCCGTTTTCACAAGGAATGTTTTCACATAAAAAAATCTCTCTCAGATCATATACATCGTTACTGTTAATTACTGAGTAATCGGAGATTAC